GCATGAATTACATATTTCGTTGCATACACTACATTCGTGCATTGTACGGATATTATATATTTCGATTTACGATAACACATCATTCCATTGGGTGCCCAGTGCTTTACACTGATAAACATGTCAGTAACATTATTTCTGCAAGTTGGTGGCTATTGAAAGCAGATGTTAACACGAGGCTCGAAATTGAATGTGGAATGTGTATTACAGAAATGTGTACATACTGCGAATATCTAATCGTTGAGTACATTGTCTGCAGTACCATGCTATGTGGCTCGCAAATGTTTTGCCCTAGGGCGTGATTTTGCTGTACAACTGCGCAGATACTCCTTATAGCTGGCGGGTGTTTGATTATGAAACGATAGTAAAGTGTTCTATCATTCGTTGGATGTGGTAAGTGGTGGTTTGTTGTTAGACCGCAGTCAAATAGGTAGTGCTCGGGAGAACCTAGCATGCCACAGACACATTGTCAGACGCTGAGATGCCATGACGCATAAAATAAGATGGAAATGGGCCATGGCCCGTTATGTGTACTGTGTCAGTGGGGCTATTGTTATAAGACGTTCCGTGTCTACCTTTGGTAGGAAGTTATACGTCCTTCTCCCTGTGTCGCAACTATTCCATTCTTCTTGCCACTTTTCTTTACAGATATTACGCAGAAGTTTCTTAAGGTGTGAGACGGGGGTAGGGGCTCTTATAGTCTGAGCGTGGATGTTGTTGGCAGCCTCATTAGCCAGTCGGTCTGCGACGTCATTCCCTTCGTTGTCGGAGTGTCCTTTCACCCATACCATGTTAAAGTGGGCTTGATGATTATTGCATAAAAGTTGTTGTATATCTATGATGATGGGTGAAGTGTGGTGATGATCTCTGAGTGCGTGTAGCACTGACATGCTGTCCGTGTAAAAAGTCGCATTGGTAAGGGAAAGGTTGAGGGCATGTCGTAGCGCATTCAATATTGCTAGTGCCTCTGCTTGGAAGATACTATTGCTGTTAGTGAGATGTCCTTTCCATTCCTTTACTAGTGTGCCCTGTTCGTAGTGAGCAAACGCGCAGCCCACTCCCTGATCATGTTTTGATCCACCAGTGAACAGTTGTGTAATCGCAGAGGAAGTGTGTTGTCTGGAGTGCGATTGCTGATGTTGGATTTTGACATGGATCCCTCTACCTTTGATGGCAGGGTGGATGTGTTGCATACTGCCAGGGAGTTCATAGTCTGTTGTTCTGAACGTAATTCCTGCATATGTGGCTTCTTGTCTGTGATGGGTGATTCGTACATAGGTAGCCTCTGCCTTTATGTGTAATGGCAGCAGGCCATTTATGTGTAATGGCAGCAAGTATCGTGGCAGCGCTGGACGCTGTTGTGCGATAACCTCCGCAGATGTTTAATGCAAACGGCCGTTGAATTGTGGTCAGTAGCTTGGTCTTTCGGCTGCTCATTGGTTGTGCCCATATGACTGCTGCGTAGAGAATTATTCTCTCTGCCACTGTCAGATATAATAGTTTCCTGATATGGGGGTTTTGTCCCCAATTTCTCCCTTGAAATTGCCTGGCTTTCCTTGCAATGGTCGATGTTTTTGTACGTATTTCTTGGAGGTGCGGTAACCAGGTGAGTCTTTGATCCCAAGTGATTCCTAGATATTTAATCGTCTTCGTTATTTTTAAGTTCTTGCCCAGTAGCTTTATACATGGACGTCTTGTGGGATTTGTGCCAGGACGTGGAATTACGATGGCTGCGAACTTTTGTCGAGAGATGATTAACTTAAGTTTATTGCATAGGTCCGTGAATATCGAGCAGGTTTCTGTGGCATTCCGTTCCAGTTCATCTCTTGTGCGGCCAGACACCAGAAGGGCTACATTGTCGGCGTATGCTATGATATCTGTGTGCAAAGGCCATTCCTGTTGTAGTATGTAGTAGTTAAGGAGTTAAAGGTGATTATCCAGAGCAACGGACCGGCGCAAGAGCCTTGTGGACACCCTCTTTCCTGCCGCTTGATAGTGAAGCCATTGTTGTTGTCTACTATGAGGCTACGTGCATGTAGATAGTCCGTGATGATGTTAAAGATGTTTTTGGGACATTGTGCCTCTCTAAGTGCTTGCTTTATAGCAGGCCACTAGAGGGTGTCAAAGGCGCTTTGCAGGTCCAGGGATATGAATAGGAATTACAGGTGAATCATATGCAAATCTATTGACACCAATTTTAATGAAATTAATTCCTTCAGAATTTGTTTTAGAATTTAATCGCATTCAAGGCGAAAAAGAATTTGACTTCAAAACTCTTTAGCAATTCATTAATAAAGAAATTCGAAGCCGCGAGAGATCCTTTCCAATAAATAATTATAAACCATCGAATCAACGAGTGCAGTTATGTTCCTCGCAAGAGAAAATAAAAAATAAAAATTCTACTTCCGTTAGACATCACTCTTCAAGACCTCCGCATAAGAGGGAGAATTCTTCCCCTCCCGACGCACGCATGAATTTCTGGCGTCAGTCGAAAATGTAATGTGTTTATTTTGTAGCAAAGGTCATAAATCAGAATCATGCTCTACATTTAATGCAAATGAACGGAGAGATATATTGAAGCAACGAGGTCAATGTTTTCGTTGTTTGACCCCGAACCATCGAGTGAAAGAATGATTGAAAAAGGATTTGTGTCCCATCTGCAACAAACCTTACCATGTTTCAATTTGTTTTCGAAATCAAAATAATCCACACATTATTTCTCCAAAAGGAGAAACCGATAATGTCTTATCGGCGAATATCGTATCCGCAAAAAGGAATAATATGTTACAAACATGTTCAACCTTAATTGATAATGGAAAGAGCAGGAAATTGTTAGAATTTCCCTGGACAATGGTTCACACCGCTCCTTTGTTTTATCAGATATTTCCAAAAGATTTAACTTTCCAGTTGTCAGAAAGGAAAGCCTTTCCATTTGCACATTTGGTGCTAAGGAAACGGAAACAAAATCATTTAATGTAGTTAAACTTAAATTAAAGAAAAACTTAAATTAAAGAATAGAGATGATCCATATTTATGCATAGAAATTGAAGCACTGGAGACAGAACATATTTCGGGTACACATTTACCGACTCCGGATAAAAATATTGAGAAACAATTTAGACGTTTAAAAAATGTACAACTAGCGGACTGTTATGAATTAATACGAAACAATAACGAAATATAATACTAATAGGTGCAGATTACTATTATGATGTTGTCACTCTGGTTGAATTACAGGTTACAGAAGAAAACATCGCGGCAAAAACATCGCGGACGAAAACGTCGCGGAGAAACAACGCAAGGCAAAAACGTCGTGCTACAAAACATCGTGGGAGAAAACATCGCAAAGAGAAAACATCGCAGTTCTAAAACATCGTGGTAGAAAACATCGTCGTCGAAAATAAAGCGGTTCAAAAACTTTGCAGTTTAAAAACATCGTCGTCGAAAATATCGTGGTAAAAACTAAAGTATCTACAAGTAGATGGCGTTAAGTTAGAGTTTAAGAAGTCAGTTGTTGTAAATGCAACTGTTGAAAATAGCGAAATGAAAACGATTTCATCACAAGATATTCCTCATTCAGTAAATTAATTAGGATAACTGCTTTATGTTTGAGATTTATAAGTAACTGTAAAGCAAAACCAGAGTTGCGAACAGACTTCATATGTGCTTCTGAGTTAAGACATGCTACTGAAGTTTTAGTAAAACTCGTACAGTCAACTGAATTTCAAAGGGAAATAAAGTGCTTGAAAAACGGACAATCTATTCCAAAGAATAGTAAAATATCATCTCTGAACGTATTTCTTGACAAAAATGAGGTACTGAGAGGAGGAAGACTGGAGTATTCTGAGTTTTCTGAATTTCAGAAAATCAGATAATACTCTTTCCAAAGGCTCACCATTTCATTAATTTAGTTATTGAATATTATCATAGGAAATCCATACATTCTGGCGTACAGACTACATTATCTTTATAATTTTTTACATTTTATATTCTTTTACATTTTATACAGTCATATTGTATACCGTCTGGTCGAGTTAGAAGAGTAATAAATAAGTGCATCACTTGCTTTAGAACGAAGAATCAAACGGTAAGCCAGATGATGGGTAATCTACCTAGGGACAGAGTCGTACTTTCTAGACCTTTCGAGAAGGTCGGATTATATTTCGCAGGACCTATAATCATGAAACCTAATTTGAAAAGGTCAAAGGTGACTTTAAAGTCTTATATTTTACTATTTATATGTTTTTGCACTAAAGCAGTGCATTTAGAAGTTGTTTCTGAGTTAACAACAGAAGCTTTTCTAACCTGTTTACGACGATTTATTGCCAAAAGATCCAAACCAGCCGTTATCTGGAGCGATAACACCACGAATTTCAAAGGTGCGAGAAATATTCTTAACGCATATAATTATATTTGCAAATCTAACCCAATTCAAGGATTTAGTGCAGAAGAAGGCATCCAATGGAAATTTATCCCACCAGCTTCTCCTCACTTTGGCGGACTGTGGGAAGCAAACATAAAACCAGTTCAACGGATTTTGTTAAGGGTACCAAAATCAGCTATCATGAATTTTGAAGAGTTAACTACTTTAGTTACTCAGATAGAAGCAGTAGTTTTGAATTCTCGTTGATTATCATCGCTTTCTTCCGATCCGAATGACTTACAGCCTTTAACTCCGGGACATTTTATAACAGGAAATGCTATGTTATCCTTTCCTGAACCACATACTGCTTCGGATTCTCTTTCTTTTCATTCCAGGTGGGAACAAGTTCAGAGACTCAAACTAAATTTTGGAAGAGGTGGCATTTCGAGGTATCTAAATCAACTACAGAATCGTGCCAAATGAAGCAGTTCGAAGCCAAACATACAGATTGGTCAACTAGTACTGCTGAAGGACTCCAACCCCAATCCTTTGCATTGGCCATTGGGTCGCATCCAACAAGTGTATCCTGGTGCTGATGGTCTGGTCAGAGTAATTGAAGTTAAAGGTGTTCTTCGGCGAGCCTCTACAGGTGTTCTTCGGCGAGCCATCAACAAAATTATTCCTCTACCATTTAAAGACTGAATAAACTTGAAAAACTTTTATTTTATATTTAATAGTTTACCAATTTAATATTTAGTTTAGTGTAATTTTAGTGACTTTAAATTTATTTGAATATCTGGAAATTGAAATGTAAAGTCCATGAGAGTTTAAGCGGGGAGAATGGTAAGACCCGCCTAACGCTAGAGGGCGCTAAGAGCGCCATTGAGTGTGTGCTGAGATTCGATGGAAGTTACTCGATGGATGATGTGCGATTTCTGAGATTGAGATATTATTATATTTAATTAAATCAATTTATATTTTATTGATTGGTGATTATTGATTTTGATTTATTGATATGAGAAGTGATATGTTTTGCTGAACCACCACACTTTCGACAAACTTGGATTACCACTGAATCTCAAAACCACCGATCCGCAACTGTAAATAATATCGAAATAAAAATAACATTCAGATGACTACAAATTTACAGACAGGATTTATATAGCTTCTTATACGTGTAGAAGAAAATAAAAGACAATAGTCATACTAACAAGACATACTAAAATTCTTAATCGCAATAAGGAAAAATGGTGTATATATCATATATATCTATATCTATCTATATCTATATATAATAATTTATTTCCTAAACAGTATTGATTAATTGATTATATTATCTCCTAAGTTTAATTAAAGTAGAATTATTTTAAAAGTGTGCATCCATACTGGTAAAACATATATTAATTCATGTAGATTTTTCATTATTTAGTTTCTTTAAATATAATACAGGGATATAGTATTTGGTGGCAAGAATTTGAAAAGTGATTCGGACATTTAAAGTTATTCGGCGCAAAATGCCTTTTCGAAACTAACAGCCCTTTCAGGCTAAAAAAGGAAAAGGTTCTCTTAGCTAATAAAAATATCACATTCTATGGAATGTCATAGAAGAAACAGTTAATCAACTGACATAAAGAAAAGTATTGGTAATGGATAAAATGAAAAAAAAAAATACGATATTAATTCTTTCAACGGAGGGCTTGTTATCAGAAAATCAGAACACTTGATTTTAAACAGTAGGGTATTGAAAGTTTTAAGAAATACTACAGACAGAATAGCTCAGCATTTCAATTACAGAAAAGATGGCTTATCAATCATTAGATCAGGAATGTGGCTGAATTATTGAGTAATTGACTACGTGCCTGGAAGTAATTGATTCAATAGCTGGCATGATTGAAATTAGCAATTAAATGAATGATGAAATGGATATCATGTACCTAAGGGGTTTTAACGTAGGAAAAACGTAAGTAGCCACTAGAAGGATAATAAGGTTATAAGGTATTTCTCCCACTTCCCTAGCAGGTATAATGGTTCTGCACACTGAGCCGGTATTTCAGAGGTCCGTGGTTCAATTCCCGGCGAAGGCGGTTGCATATTTTTCATCTTTTCTGCTTCCAATTAACCTAATGACTCTACAACTGGAGCCCGAACTAAAAAAAGGGTTGTGGATGATGATTCTCCGCACCCAGGATTTGTCGACTAGGTCCCCTAAAACTCTAGTCGCCCTTTAAAAAGGGGAGTATATAAGGTATTTCTCCCACTTCCCTAAAGAGCTTTCATGGTGTAGTGGTTTTGCACACTGAGCCGGTATTTCAGAGATCCGTGGTTCGATTCTCGGCGAAGGCAGTTGCATATTTTTCATGTTTTCTGCTTTCAATTAACCTAATGACTCTACAAGGTTAGGGTCAAGGTTGTCAAACTAGCGACCCGAAGAGCATAAATTAATAAAAGGTAATTATGGGCTTTATTTAAAAAGAAAATGTACGTGTATCTCCATAAAAAATGCTGGTCATACTCGTTTCTAAAGAACAAAAGTAATTCTGGAATAAATAGGAAATAGCTGTTTAAAAATGTAGTTCAGAAGAGAAATGTAAGTTAAAAATATGAAATCTGTGTTTTTTCAGGCCTTTCAGTAAATGCCATCATTAGAATATAGAGCAAACAAATTGCAAGTAAAATTAAGGAGGGCCCCTGCATATAATTACGATAAGTTAAGTGTAGTTCTTACATATTAACTATCCACAGTTATTTGTTTGCTATTACCAAAAATGCATGATAAGTTATTCACCAGAGGAAGTGATGCCTTCATCAAACAGTTTTTAAGAAAATGTGGCTCATATTTGCGTTTCATAAAGGGAAAACCTCAAAACTGGTAAGTGCTCAAACAGTCAATCCTTTCGACAGGATAGGAGCCCGGATCCAACTACTAGAGTTCAAAGACCTTATTCTGAGCTGTTCATTAATTAACCACCTATAATTCCAGTTCTCAGCTAGGATGCCGTCGGGAGATGCCTAAAGTGGAAACTAGCTGAAGACTCAAATGAGTTTAACGCTATTGTTTTAAATGGATTGCAGTTTTTACTACCAATAGTTACCAATAGTTACTTAGCAGTTATCATCTTTGTTTACAGTTATCATTAGCAAAATTTTTATTATTTACAGAACCCACATAACCTATTAAATGCAACATACCAATATAACCTATTAAAGTATAAAATAAGATTATTACTTGGATGCTTCTACTAATGTCTCATATTAACTTATGCAAAGCTTAAATTTCCTTTCATTATGCAGTTTTATGAAAGTACTTGCCGCCCAACCGGCATAGTGTTTAGCATCGCTAACTGCTGTGCCGAAGGGCTCGGATTCGAATCCCGCAGAAGGCACAGATGTTTATAAGTATACAGGGTCCGTGCGGCATGGAAGCACTCCAAATATGGGGCGAGGCGAAAGTCCTCTCGAGAGGATGGTGGTAGGAAGGGTGGTAGGAGGTTGGGGGTGGGAAACCTTCGAACCCTTCCCTACCCCGGAGTGATCTCTTTAAAATTGGGGCGGAACAGAGCTAAATCCCATTGTCACCTGTAAGGTACTCAAGGCTGTTGTTGCCAACGACAGACGTGATCTTGCGCTCGTTGCCACGAGGAATTTCGTGGGTTTAAGGTAACTATATGTCAGACAAGTGAGCATTAGTCTAAAACAAGAGCAAATACTTATTTTTTAAGCAACTCACTCTTTCTGTCAAACAAATAGTTAAATCAAAATTTCAAGAAAATAGCTTTTTCTATTAATTAAGAAAAAAGAAAAACATTTTGAAATTTTGATTAATAGAATTTTATCAAAAATTAACCTTTTTTTCACAGGAAGTATGATGCGATATATTTTTATTTTGCATGCTCATCTTTTTCATTTGGCATTGAAAATTTCATGGCATGAGAAACTGTTAGGCTTAATTTTTATTCTTCTCAATCTCCTTTAACAAAATGGAGAAATATGTTTCAAGCCAAATTAGATGTTAAGTTTTTATGATGTCAGTGATATTAATAAATGCTGAAATGCAAATTAAAGACATTCGTAAATGCTCATAATGTAGGTCAAATGTTGCTGAACTCCAAAACTTCAGGAAATTGGGATTTGAGAATGTTATATTGGACCAATATCGGACTTTTATGTTACAAGGAATTATCGCGATTATCCTTGATGTAACTAGTAACACTTCCCTCTTGCAACTAGAAGATGCGTTATTCGAAATTCCGGCAAGGGCATCAATGATTTTTTACTACTTTCTACTCTATTTCCCAATGGCGCGCAAATTAAAATGTGGTCACCTGGATTTTCATCCAGATGACCACATCCGGGTGATAATTCATCACCTGGATTTGGTGAACTGAGTCTCAGCTTCTGTCCAGTCACTTTTAAATAAATAACATAGGATAATAAGAGACTATATAATTAGTTATTGCATTCCGTGCATTTTGTTGCGGTGTAACTGGTAGCAGTAAAATTCTAACACATTTTACAGTGTGAGGAAAGATGGGAACATCCAGGTTTTGTTTGAGTATCAGTGGTGACAGCTAAACTCCTATACAACACCACCTTGACTCGGATTAAGACAGTCCAGAAGGAGTACTTCAAAATCCGGTACCTATTTTCTACTCGGAAACTATCGACGGAAGTTTCTGGTCTGTTAATTTCGTGGACTTGTTCTCGGCGTTTACATGAAAAGCACAAATTTCCATAATTTTCTTAAGACTAAATTTGTAGATTATAAAATTTGTAGCTTATAAGATTGTAAAATTTGAAGATTACCTTAGGATTTGTCTGCACCAGTAACCTACTGAAGCAGTGGCAAATAATATCAGTTAAGTGTTGTATAATAGAAAGCGAAATAAAACATAAGTTTGCCTCATTACTATAAGCTGAGGCTCCAAAATCTGAATAAATCATAAGAAAAACTTAATTTTTTAATGTAAAATTTGCTGCATTGTCACATCTTTAACAAAAATCTAATAAATAACAGCAATAACTTTGCGTGTAATTTTACATTAAAGTACAGAAGGATAGGTGGGATTCTTCGAACCGTGCATTTTATTTAGCAAGCATTTCCAAATACCATAAGTAAAAGGAAACAAAAATGGGAATTACTAGGATGGCGAAATAGAGACGAATAATTTAGGAAGAGAAACTCTTCACTACATTAGCTCTTCAAGAGTGATAAATTGCTTGACATTTTCCACGTCAATTTATCACGTTCTAGACTCTTAGCTCAAAGTACAAAGAAAAGATCCTAACAATGAAAAAAGTTACATTAAATACATTTTATGTCATTGCTCATTTGGATTTAGTAATTTTTCATATGATGTTATGAAGAAGCATTCGATGACATTACCTTACAATATTCCTGTCATACTATTTTTTTCATTAGGTATGGTCTTTTTTATAAATGCGTGAGCCTCAATTTACTGATAAATGTATGAAGTAACTAAAATGAACTGGGACAGACAAGGAATAGATCTCCTCATTCTGCAAATGAAAATTCAAGCTTGTACGGTTTTAATTTAAAAGAGCTTTGATGTTCATAAAAAAGAGAGTTCTTCGCCTCTTTTTGTCTCCCGAAACAGTTTAATAAACCTCTTACTTCGATTATACATGCCTACGACATTTGATTTCATTAAAATACTTTTTTAAATGTATACTGAATTATACTGTTCTTTTTCGAGTATTAATCCGAAAAACAACTTACTTTTTTTACATAACAGACAGTTTTTCTTGCCAAATTTTGTTAACATTTTCTTGATGGTTAGTATTTTTACT